CAAAAAATTCTCTGATGGACTGATGATATATTCAGCTAATATTGATGGTGTGCAGAACCTGCAAAATATCTATTTATTGATTTAACAGAGTATTTAAGGAAAGGACATATTAGTATTTGGAATAATGTGCAAACATACCGCCTCTTACTAACATTTTAAGTAATGTTAGTCTTCTGCCTTTATGAGACAGACATTCAAAAGAAAAGGAAAACCTATCCCAAACAATATTTTCTGCTTTAAAATGTTCAACAGAGGCTGGGTAGAGTTTGGTAGTAGAGTGCTTGGCTTTCTCATGTCCAAGACCTCTGGTTGTGTCCCCATTTCCCCTATCTACCAAGAAAGGACAGATGAAAAATACTGTGAAACATTAATGACTGTGCCTCTCACACATGTAGGAAAGTATATGTTTCTACTGCCTTCATTTAAAATGTTCCTACATCTTCAGGTTCCATTTATTTGCTGTATGTTGATGAAAATATTTTTCTCATTTTCATTAAAATTTATGATCTTCAAAGTACAATATATATGACATCCTCTAGCTCATGTCACATTGAGCAGTTAAGCCAAATATGTACTCTATTAATCAACCAACCAAGCCAGGGGTGGAGTTGGAAGCTGATCTCAGCAAGATCCCCTTTTCAGTCAAGCCTCATTTACTGTAAATAGGAGTTGGCTATAAATGTGCAGCACACTGAGCATGCAGAAAAGGCTGTCCCACTGTGCTTTTGTTTGACTTCTTTTGCAGAGGCTTAAAAAAAGTGGTCCCCTCTACATTATAATATAGCATTCATTATTTGTCACTGTGTAGCCTTTAAGATTCCCGAATAAGAAATGATTGTTTCTTTAAAAACAGAACATAAAAATTGCCTCTCAATTTTGTCAGATGTGGAAAATGAGATTATTGGCTTAAAAATGGATAAGAATGTTTCCAAAATAATCGCCACTCTATGACTATGAAATTAGCACAAACATTAGTTTTAAATACTAATTATATTCAAGTGAAACTTTCACTGTGATATGCTAATACAAAATTAACTTCTTAGGAGTGTAATATGTACAGAATAATTATGGCTTTATAAAAGACTAAGGACAATACCTCTTTAGGCTTTTCTTCCACACATTTCTCAAAATAAACTACTGAAATATACTCATTTCAAAGCTAATTGTAGCAGTCTTAAAGAAAAGAAAGAATGATAGAGAATGTGAGCAATTCTGAAAGAGAGTGGGAGAAAGGGAAAGAAAGGAAGAGAAAGAGAATATGAAACAAACAATAACATGTAAATGAACTTGTGTTTAAAAATCAAATCATGTATGCTCTGCAGACAGTATACTGATCCAAGACAGACAAGCTATATCAATAATCATCCCATAAATGTAGTATTAGTTCATGGATAAATATTGAATTTGAGTCACTTAAGTTTGCCTCAATTTGTTTTTCCATGAAAATTTGGAAATCCATCCAAACAATGTCACTTGTGTTCACTAGAAGTTCCTGATCTATTTGCATTATTTAGTTTTAAGTGTATAATTACAAAACATGTAACTGGTAAGAAAATACGAAAAGAAAGAATTAAATTAGCAGAATTTCTGTTTTAGATCTCTTCTAAAATGTTACCAATTCAAAAACATATGTATACATCAAATGTATAAATTATACCCTTTAATCTTGAGTACCCCAAAACAAATGATTTTTATAAGCTCATTTCAAGAGAAGAGCACCACACCCAGTTTTTGCAGTACTGGCAATTGAACACAGGGACTTGTGGATATAGAACAAGGATTCTATCACCTGTGCTACATGCCTGGGTCTCTGTACCTTAATTATAATTTTTAAGTGGTATACAAGTGTGCTTTTGTATCAAGTTGACAAGTGCTACATCATGATAGTTAGTTTTTAATTGTCAACTTGCCACATCCTAAAATGACCAGAGAAGAAAGAGAGCCTCAACTGGAGAATTATCCAGATTGATCTGGACTGTGTTCACGCCTATGAATGACTGTGTTGATGGTTAATTGATGTAGGAAGAACCACTCTAATTTGTTGGAAATACTTCATGGTCTTGTTCATGAACTACATATGAGTGAAGAACACAGTCAAGAAAACAAGCAGGCAAGGACCCTGGCTCTTTTGACTCTTGACTGGATGTAACATAGGCAGCTGCTTAAGTTCATGTTTTCCTGACCTCAATGTAAGAGGGAATTGTAACATAAATAAATGCTTTCCTATCCTAAGTTTATTGTTCAGGATATCTGGTACAGCAGCAGAGTTGAGACCAAAGCAGAGATACTTTTGAATGGTGCAGTTCTTTGACCAGACATTAATGAAAACAGATGGATTTAATAGCACCACTTCCCAGCTCTGTCACAAAACATTGTTAATGCTTCTCCTCACTCTACATCATGAATAAGGTTTCAAATATTTCTATATTTCTGATTTTTATTAGAACATAAGAAGCTTTTGGGGCATATACATCACTTTAGACCAGTGTTCTCAACCTGTGGGTCAGCCATTTTTGGGTCCAATGACCTTTTCACAGGAGGTCACATTATCAGATATCCTGCATATCAAATATTTACATTGTAAAATTAAAGTTATGAAGTAACAATTAAATAATTTTATAGATGGGGCTCAGCACAACATGAGGAAATGCATTAAAGGGTCCCAGCATTAGGAAGATGGAGAACCAACGCTTTTGACTCATCATCATCAGTCTAAACTTTTGGTGCCTTGGGAGCTTAAACATCAAAGTTTTCCTATTATAACACAAATGAGTTTAATTATAGAAAAGGTAAAATGATTCTCCCTGTGGTTTTTTTCCTTTGAAAACATCTTTCTTTTATTCAAAATTGTTTTTGTACAATATATTTTGATCATATTGCTCCTCCCCTGCAACTGCTTCTAGATGTTTCCATCTCTTTGCCTATCCAACTTCATGTTCTCTTTCAAAAAAAAACCCAAAATAAAACAAAAATGAAAACCAAAACAAATTAATAAAATCTTAATAAGACAAAAAGCATAGCCCAACAAAACAACATAAAACACATAACTACTCCTGTGCATGGAGCCTGGCCTGAAGTGTGATGCTATACCCAGTGACACTTCCTTGCAGAAAACTGATTGGAAGATTTCATTTGTAAATAGTTTCCTGGTTAAGGGTTTCTTGTATACATTTGTGTGTCCTCTCTGGAGTATCTTAATTTTTTTTTTGTTTGACATTTTTTTTATTATTTATTTAGCTTGTTCTCTCACTTTCAAAAACTTTTGTGGGGTATTCTATACAAAAACAGATACACACACACACACACACACACACACACACACACACACATATATATATATATATATATATATATTATATATATATATATATATATATATATATATATATATATATATATATATATATATAGACAGACAGACAGAGAGAGAGAGACACACAGAGAGAGAGACATAGAGTGATTTCTACATTTATTCATTTATTTTACATCCTGACCACCGTTTTCCCTTGCTCTTCTCTTCCCATTCCATTCTCCCAATGACCTTTCATTCACTTCTCCTCTGTTTCTGTTCAGAAAGGGGCAGGCCTTCCATGGTGTCAACGAAGCATGACATATGCAGTTGAGGTAGGACTAAGCTCCTCCCCTTGTGTTAAGTCTGGGCAAGGCAACCCAGAATGAAGAATAGATTCCTGGAAGCCAGCAAAAGGGTTGGGGACAGGCCCTTCTCCCACCACTAGAAGTCTCACAAGCAGACCAAGTTACACAACTGTCACACATATGTAGAGAGCCTAGGTCAGTCCCATGCAGGCTCCCTTGCTGTAGGTTTAGAGTCTGCGAGCTCCTATGAGCCCAGGTTAGTTGTCTCTGTGGGTTCCCTTGTGATGACCTTAATCCCCTGGCTCATACAATCCTTCCTCCCTCTCTTCAATAAGATTCCCTGAGCTTGGCCCAGTGCTTGCCTGTGAGAATTAAATGGTAAATCTAAATTTTAGGAACAGTATCAAACATTTATATTCTTTGCCTCCTATGTCCTTGTTTCTTACATTTGTCCTTTTATTGAGAATGTTCTTTTCTCATATAGTATATCCAGATAATAGTCTCCCCTTCCTCCACTTTTTCCACTTCCTTAACACTTCCCCTCCCTTCCAGATCCATTCTCTTTCCATCTCTCATTAGAGAAAAAAAGGCTTCTAAGAGATAACCATACATGACAAAATAAAACACAGTATGAAGCAAAAACTCTCATTAAAAAGTTGGACATAGCAACCCAACAGGAGGAAGAGTCCCTAGAGCTGACACCCACTCATTCTCACAGTCAAGAGTACCATAAAAATACTAAGCTAACAGCTATAATATATATGCCGAGGAGCTAGTGTAGACCCATGTACTCCCTGCGTTTGTTGCTTCGTCTGTGTGAGCTAATATGCACCTTTCTTAGTTGTTTCAGGGGACCTTATTTTCCTGGTATCCTCTCTGACTCTTACATTCTTTCCACCTCCTCTTACACAGGATTCCCTGAGCTCTGAGGGGGAAAATGTTGATGACGAACTCTACTTTAGTCTCTCTCTCCACATAATGTCTGGCTATAGGTCTCTGTATCTGTTCCTATCTGCTGCTGCTGCTGGAGGAAGCCTCTCTGATGATGACTGAACCAGGCACTGAACTACTGTGTGAGCAGCCAACCAATATCTGATTTGATGGAAGGTCCACTTCACAGAAAAAAACCCATACCAACACTGTTTAGGTAAAAAATATCTAGAGACTAGATAGCCCAGAGACCTAGGGTAAAACAAGACATAGCTAGTCAAAAAATATATAAAATGATTCCTATATCTTATGTTTTAACTCTTACTAACTCTTTGAATGGCATATACATATGAACCATAGTTACTGTAACAAAATATTTTCAAGATTGTTTCTTCTAAAGACTTAAAATAAGCAGATTTCCCTGTTTTGATCTGATTTTCTAAATTTCTTTATTGTTATAATTGTCTATATACCTTCTAATTTGACAATAGTTGGTGGTGGAATGTTCTACACAATAGTTTCTGAGAAAAGTTTATTTAGGAATTTACAAAAAGCAGAGCATGGATACTTAGATAGTGATAATGTGCTATGAATCAAACTGGGAGTTTTAAAGTTATTAATAGAAAAGTGAAATGGAAACTAAAGGTCTATTTGGTTTGGTAAAAGTGACAAAATGAAGGCTGTCAAGCATAAAATGAATCAGGTACAGAATGGAAACAATTGCTTTTCTACTCCACTGCACGCGCACACACACAAAGAATGAACAAATACTGAAGCAAGAATTTGGTTAGTCAAAACAGATTATCCATGATATAAACTTCAAATACTAAGACTAATCACACAAAATCTAGGATCTTTAATTCCTAAAGAACTTTAAAAGCAACATAGGAAAACTTTCTAGCTAGTAGATGAAAATCAGCTTATACAGATAAAGGAAAAAATAGTCATAATAATTTCATCTTTCTACTCTACCAAAGAGATCTTTCTGGATTTTTACCTTTCATCTGTTAATGGAATACCCATTTACCTTTAACTTCAGTTTAATATGAACTTGTGCAAAATTCTTACCTTTGAAAAGTTAAGGCTATTTAGTAACACTTGCAAAAATGTTGATTTTTTTTCATTTTTAAAATGTTTTAATCAAATCAAACAATTATGAAAGCTTAATTCATAAATTAATGGTTGCTTACATTCCATTGATATCAGCATAATTTTTTAACATCTCTGACGATACTAGCTCATTTCTAAGTTCCAAACTTCTGATTCCTGTATATTTTTGATTGCCTAATTACACCTAAGTGACGTGGCTTGTCACCTCTGTTTCTTGCCTGGTACAGCGATGAGCTAGCTTTAAAACCTGCTCCATCACATCTGACCTTGAACAGCAAAGAGCCTTGCTGATGGCTGTTGCTGTTTCCCTCCACATTCCATGTAGCTGAACCAAAAATGTCCATTTCACCTCAAACTAACAAGATGTACTTTTTTCATTAATTGAAAACATTGTTATATGGCAGTAAGTCAAGTGTATGTTCTCACATACTCTAGTGCTTACATTTTGAGGTCTTTGGGTACCTCCAACCTCACTGAAAAGAATTCAGCAAAACTCCAAGGAAAATACAGAGAAAAGATTTATTAATCCAACAGTGCACTGACAAAGGTATGCACTGGCAGTCTGAGGAATATTAGGCACACAGGTCTGAGATTCTACCATTTCACCTACTCTGCTCATAATGGTCTATATCATTTTCTCCTTGCCTCTTGATTGATGGGTTTAAAATATGTTTATTTGCCCCTAGGTTCACTTAGAATTGACAAGCTACTAGTTGTTCCCCCATTCTATAATTATTCAAGGTCTCACAAATGACATCATGACTACCTGTTAGTTATGGCATCCTGTTGCTCCAACATTAATGAATTTCGTTATTTTTAAATTAAGACATAATCATAAACTTTGAGATCAAGATTTTACAATAGTTTGACAGGTCACACAAACAGGAACAGGACTTGGGCTATAAGAACACCTAGTCGCAGCTAAATCTCTGGTGTCTTTTACCAAACCCTTAAAACAATAACTAGCAAAAAGTAGATTCTTAATAAATATTCTTTAATAAATGAATGAAAAACTGGGTGGATTAAGAAATGAGTATCAAATGTAAGATCAGTTTATATTTTTTTGTTCTATCTTCTGTGATGTCCTCTGAACTTTGAAGGGGTAATATAAATATCCTGCTTTTGGCTCTGCAGTGAAGCATATCTTATTCTCAGCATCTTGAGCTGACAGGTGTCTTCCTACACTATAATTAATTACACCCAAAAGTTTCTCTGCTACAGAAATATAATTATGACATGTTTTATTTAAATATAATACATAAAGGAATGCATATATATATACACATATCTATATGTATATGTATATATATATTCTATTCCAAAATAATACTGCTAATATATGGATAATGATAATCAAAAATCATAATAATTAATATAATTATATTTCTTATAGTGAATAAACAGCTTTAAGATTTTAGCATCTAGGTTAAGGTAGTGATATAACTGAACCACTATTTTGTTCCATTCCTATTTATTAAAAGGTAAAGAAAAAACAAGATCATATCTTGCTACATTGTATACTTTAAATGAGTAAGGGGAAATATATTAATACAAAAATGGTATAATGATCACTACTTTAAGTATAAACAGATGGAGAATACTGTCTAAGTGTTCTTAAAAGAAAGTTGCTGGGCTGGAGAGATGGCTCAGAGGTTAAGAGCACTGGCTGCTCTTCCAAAGGTCCTGAGTTCAATTCCCAGCAACCACATGGTGGCTCACAACCATCTGTAATGAGATCTGGTGCCCTCTTCTGGCCTGCAGGGATACATGCAGGCAGAACACTGTACACATAATTAATAAATAAATCTTTAAAAAAAAATAAACTTACCGTTGTTGAAGTAGAAGATGTCAACTACAATGTAATATTGTTTTTGGAAGAGTGTAAAGTTACAAATTTTCACTGAAGGGTATTTCTACAGTCCTGATTTTATAGAGAGAAAACTGGAAATCAGAAAGTTGAAGAAGTAAGATTTATAATTTAGGATTAATCTTCCAAATTCTTCTATATTTTACATAAAGTCATCTCAATTAGGTTTTAGATGAATTAAAATTAGTGTCCTGAAGATATGCTTACTCAACAAATGCTTGCTATGCAAGGAAAAGGACCTGAATTCATATTCTCAGAACCCACAGAAAAGCTGAGCACAAGAACCCATGCCTGTCATACCTTGCTGGGGATGCAGGGTAAGGGAGATCCATTAGGGCTTTAGTGCCAGTCAAACTGGAAGAATTGATGAGTTTCAAGTTCAATATGAGACTTTGTTGTAGGAATCTTAAAAGTTCTTATTAATAAAATCAAACCCGAGGCGAGTTATTGGGGTCCATGCTGGTAGATCAGAGAGACAGAACAAGCCACAGCTATCTCACCTCAGCTGGTCCTGTTTCCTCAGACTGGAAGCCTCTGAGTCCTCATCCAGAATGAATCTCACCTGAACTGTGTTGCTCCATAGCCTGAATGCTTAACTAGCCAAATGCTTAACCAGCCAAATGCCTCTAGTTTCTGGTCCTCACGCCTTATATATCTTTCTGCCTTCTACCACCACTCCCTGGGATTAAAGGCTGGCTTTCTGGGATTAAAGGCGTGTGTCACCATGCTTGGC